GTGTGTGTGTGTGTGTGTGTGTGTGTGTGTGTGTGTGTGGAAAAACTGTGGAAAAATTATTATGTCTTTATAAAATAAATCTGTTTTGTATAATGTATTCAGTAAATTAAATGGAAAGACATAATATTAATATTATTAAAAAAAATTTACATGTCGGTCAAATGGCCTGTTGGGAGTTATTCTCTATATCAGTAGTGCTGTTTCTGATCTCCCAAAAATGTCTTGATTGGAGTTTTCTTCCAGGAACGTACATGTCACAATGTCTCTTATTTAAATAATTAATGCATATGCAAAAAGGCCTGATTGAGTTGCATTAGTGGTTAGTAGTGTGTTGTTGCCATGTACAAGACACATTGTCGTTCTTTCTTCCTACATGAAACATTAGAGCAGAAAGCACTGGATGTTTCTGAAAAGTTTATATATAAAAAAGGACTATAATTCATAATTCATTTCTTACCCTTGTCCTTAAAATGAACTTACAATAAATATTTAGTTAACCTAATATTGTATTTCTAGACAGTCTCATCTTACCCCAATTTCCTGTATTTGAATTTATTTTACATTTACATAAGTCCACAGATCAAACAAACACATCCTGTATGATCCTTGTGACTTATACAAAATATATAGCAATATACAAAAAGCTCTTTCTGGACCTTCACAAAATCTTCCTTTGAGATTCTGAAGGCAACGATCTGAAAACCAAGGTGAGATTTTGACAATGAGTCCTACTCAATAACCTTTCTACTTAAAAGTATCATTGTCTTTAAAATACATTGAGAATCCACAGTGTTCAGTATATAAACTTTTAATTTTAAATGCTTATTAATTTTCAGGTTCATCGTGGCATTTATTGGTAAACTCCCTCGTTAATTCATTTTAAAAGATTTTCTGCCAAACCTTTGATGTTTTGTGGCTTTAAGAATAGCAGGAAATGTATGATATTCAACTAATTAATATTTATTATAATATTTATTATGTTTATTTACTTGATAGTTAATTTAGTTGAAAAATGCCCCTATGGATGGAAACATTTTGGAGCCCGATGCTACAAGTTCTTCCCTCATTCAGTTAACTGGATCACAGCAGAGGTAAAGTGTTAGTTACAACAAGATGATTTTTTTTTTCAAAGTAAAACTTCCTTTTTTGCAAATAAATTTGACAGAAAATTAATACTGAGCAAATAATCAATCAGACCCGACTATGTTTGAAACTGCAGTCACTAGTCAGGTGGCTATTTGACCACTGGATTTACAGAAATCATTTCAGGTTTAAGAAGTGTTTCAACATTGCATCAACTACTGATGAACACATTAATGTTTATTAGAATTATCACTCAGTGGGTTGTTTAACCATGTATTAATTTGTCTTTGGAAGGCTTTTGTCTGTTAAACACATTAAAATGCACAAATTCACTTTATTTCTTATTTACATGTAATGCAGGGATTCACAAACTAGTCACTGTGCATTCGCGAAAATGCAAACGGTAATGAAAGATTTACAATTGCGTTTGGGTTATGTCACAATTTATGCATCCACATGTGGAAAACGCAATTCAAAATACAATTTGCAATTCCTTTCGAAAATTGTCCGGAATATCCTTCCATATTCCACACTTCAGCTTTTGAAGTTTTCAATCAAATAGCCTAGACTAGAGCATATTTTCCATTATGTATTTTGTTGAAAATATACTCAAACCATCCTAAAGCCTTAGATTGAATCTTCACAAAATGCTGGCAAAAACCTTTAGATCGAGGCCAGAGGCCGTTGGATGCCGGAGCATTTTGCAAATATTTAATAATTATTTAAATAATTAACATTTCTTTAAATGTTGACTTCAACAAATAATATTATCTCCATTATCATTGACTGTCATGGATCGCTGCTAGCATAAATAAAGTTTTGTTGGTCTTGCTGGTTTTTCTGTGAACATCTTTTCTCAGATCTGTTTCCTTGTTGTACAAACAGACCACACCACACAGCAGAGCTTTTTCAAGTGTGAGTTAAGTCACAATTTGTTTTGCTCTTACTGTCTTGCCGATGTCATTTCCATCCTCCTCTACCACCTTAAATAACAGTTTGTTTTTGTTGTTATTGTTTTTTTAATTCCAATATTAGTTACCTGTGAACCTTAATGTAAAGTGGACCTAAATAGTTTTATCTAATTTAAGTTTTGTAAAAATCATTAAATTAATAACCGAAAGCATGGTTACTTAACATGATCATATTAATAAGCAATCAATAATTATTTTTGATATCATGACGATCCAAATGTGTTTTACTGCCGGTTTAAAAAACCCAGTCTCACACCCCACACCCACTCTGATCTGCACTTCAAACATACCCCTACCCCTCCTGCAACCCCCCTCCCTCCCTCCCTCTCCCACCATTCAACAGTGCGCTTAAGGTCTGTGTAGAGGATGTGAAGCAGGTCTTCAGAAAACAGAAGAAAGCTTCAGGCCCAGATGGTGTTTCACCTGACTGTTTAAAAGACTGTGCTGACCAACTGGCCCCCATCTTCACACAGATCTTCAACAGATCACTGGAGTAGTGTGAACTACTCTGCTGCTTCAAACGCTCCACTATCATTCCAGTCCCCAAAAAAACCCCGAAATCACTGGCCTTAACAAATACAGACCTGTCGCTCTCATGTCTGTGGTCATGAAGTCGTTTGAGAGACTGGTCTTGGCCTATCTGAAAGACATCACTGGATCCTCTTTAGTTTGCGTACAGAGCAAACAGGTTTGTGGAGGATGCAGTCAACATGACTGCATTATATTCTGCAACATCTCAATAGACCTGGGACTTATTACCCATAATGCACTTCGATTCTCATGAGTGTAATGTCACCTGACAAAAGGCTTTTTTTTCCTCGCCTTTATCTTCTCACAGTTTGGGGACTAACATTTAACTTAATATATTTCAAACACATATTTCAAATATTATTTTCCAATATTTAATTAGGCTAATATTGTCTTTTTAGACAGGCTCGTCTTACCCCATTCTCCCATATTTGATTTTCATTTTATGTGTACTCAAGTCCACAGATCAAACAACGACATCCTGTGTCATCCTTGTGACTTATACACACTTGACATCAAGTAAAGTATAAAAGCAGAGCCCTTTCTGGAACTTCACAAAATCATCCTCTGAGATTCTGAAGGCAACAATCTGAAAACCAAGGTGAGTTTTTGGCTTACAGACCTACTGAAAAACTTTTCTTCTTAAAGTATTTTTGTCTTTAAAATACATTGAGAATCCAAAGTATGCAGTATTTGAATGCAGATATTTAACTTTAAATGCTTATTAATTTTCAGGTTCATCATGACGATGCTGAGAAATCTTCTGCTTCTTTTTATTGTGTTCTCCATGGGGAATGCAGAAGGTAAACAAGACATTTATTTGTACAAACCCTTGTTAATCCATTTTAAAAGCTTGTTCTGTCAAACCTTTGATGTTTTGTATCCTTTTGGAGAGGAATAGCAGGAAACGTATGATATTCCACTGACTGATATTTGCATAACATACAATTGATATACAGTTGATGTAGTTGAAAAATGCCCCTATGGATGGACAAATTTTGGAGTCAGATGCTACAAGTTCTTCTCTCAGTCGGTTAACTGGATCACAGCAGAGGTAAAGTGTTAGTTACAACAAGATGATTTTTATTATTTTTAAAGTAAAAATTCCTTTTCTGCAAATAAATTTGACAGAAAATGAATACTGAGTATATAATCAATCAGACCCGACTATGTTTGAAAATGACAAAAAATGTTGTTTAAAAAGTCATTTATGCTTTATGCTAAAAAAAATTAGATTGTGTATTGACAATAAGAAAAATCTGTCTCTTTAGAGAAACTGCCAAGGTTTTGATGCAAATCTTGCATCTGTGCATAATAAAATTGAACAAGATTTACTCCTGAGTCTGTTGCCTTCTTCTTCCACACGTTGTTGGATTGGTGCTCATGATGGTGAACAAGTAAGTGAAGCTGTGTGGCCTAAAGTTTGTTTGTCTAGACTGAAATCTCTAAAGTTTGTAATGAAGATGGTTTGACTTTTTCAGAGCCAATCTAAATTTACTTTTTTATGGAATCTGAGTACAGTAGTGCACTCTTATAATAACTGACTTTGCTCTTTAGGAAGGACAGTGGGTGTGGAGTGATGGAACTCCGTATGACTTTACCTACTGGGGCTCTGGAGAACCTAACAATCTGGGTACTGAGAACTGCGGGGAGCTCAACTGGAGCTGTAAGAATGCAGTCTTTTGTTTTGTTTTGAACTATATTTTCATGTCATACAATAACACAATGGCTTATTTGCAAAAATGCCTTAAGTTGAACATACTGTTTTATTTTATTTCTACCACACTATAATGATCAGAATAACTTATTTCATTTCCTATTTCCACCCTACAGCTAACCGTTGGAATGATGCAACCTGTTCAACTTCACTGGGCTATATATGTGCTAAAGACCTGTGAGATCTACAGTCATCCTGCTCCACAGTTACTTTTATTTGTACTACATTTACATGTTCTGATCTTATATTTTATTTTATCTGTTATTCTCTTCAAATTGGTCTTCAAATCAATAAATAAGCATTGAAAAAATCTTGTGCGTTGTGGAGCAAAATCATGTACAACATTGTGTAGCAAGATTTAAGAATATGGTTATTAGAATGCATTATAGGTTTCAAGAGGGTGTCTCTTATGCAGTAAGAGTGAAAAATTGAAGGGGGTCTGAATACTTTCCGTACCCACTGTATATATATTTCCATGTTTTCATAATAAAACAAATAAAATAAGTTCTTCTTTGATGGACCATATTTGCAAGTAATATATATTGCAATTTTTTTAAATACACCCCTACATGTCATTATCTTGTAAGAGCTTATTAACATTGACAATAAATTGAATTAAACAATTAAACAATTTGACATTACACATTGAATACTGAATTAAACAAGTGACGGCCGAAGGGCGGTGATTAAGGGACGGGGTGATTATAAAAATTAGGGGGGAGGCAGCCGACTCGTCACAACACTGACAGATTTTGATTGCTGATAATCAGCCTTTATCCACAATGGTAATATAAACTTTGTTTGTACAGAAGCAATTTAAATACTTTTATATTGACTTAAACAGTTTGATTAAGAGAGTAAATATTTTCACAATGTATTCTAAATTGACACACCTGTCAACCCAACCTTCTTTAGTGTCAATCGAACTAAAAAAAGATCTGTTTATTTTAATAATTGATCAAATAATACTTGAACCAAATTTTTAAACAGACACTGTTCACTGGATTTTCTATAAAGTTCATTGATCATTGCTAAATTCAGAATCAGATTTTAGATCAGAATATATTTTGCAGCGGATTTGACTAATCAAATCTGTCAAATGTCCTGTCAAATCGTATAAATCTGAAAGCCCATAAGGCCTTACATCATTAAATATGACCACACTTACTAACCAGTTGTAAAGTTTTATTATTGTAAATGAGTGATTATGGTAGAAAATGTGTAGTAGGGTAATATACATTCCAGTGACAAAATTACAAGACAGTAATTACAAGTATTTCATGTGAATCCCTTTAACAATTTCCAGTTTAGAGGTGATTAAAATAAATGAAAACGTAAAAGACATAGAATTGTTCTTTTAGCAGATTTGTTTGAGGTTCACAGTATATCTAAACATCGTTGTCGTTGTTGTCGTCATCATCATCATCAACCAAACACTGTTCGCCTGACAGTCCGCCATAATTTTCCATTAAATCACATTATATTTGCCTCAAATTATTGTTAATGTACATAATGACTTCATCCTAGCCTGGAAGATTGTGCATTGTGCATTTTATCAACCAAACGTTTGTATTTCTGTGGCTCTAATAAAGTCTGTGCTTCATATAGAATGCTGTACTGTATCATTATAGGCTAGAAGATTGTGTATCACTGCATTTTATGAAAATTCTAATCTAACAGCTTGCTAGAATTGTCTTCACCCTTCATCTTGCTTATGGGGTAAATTAATTTAAAGGACCCCGGTTGCCCTTCCATTTGGCTGTCCTTTAAATGAATCCACCCCATCAGCAAACTATCACGAGACTAGAAGTCCCCCTTACTATACATGCTTCTTTTTGGTTTTCATTCTACATTTTAAAAACATTGTTTGATTTCTACCATTTTTATATGTTTGAAAGAAAAAGGGGCAATATGTTTCAAGAATAACCAGCCTTTCTTTGTGATTAATAAATTGTTATTTGTAGTTTGCCTCTCTTTTGTGTGGTATTTAAATTGTGAATAAGGTATTTTTACATGTATTTTTTTATTGTGTGTGCATCATCATTAACACAAATGATCTGTGTTTGTAAAATATAAGCTCATTAATCCTCCCTAACATATTTATAAACCTTACTCTTGACCATGTTTTTGTTTAAGCAAAAAGAGAAAATAAACCTTCCTTTTTTTCTACTGCTCTAGTGAAGTTTTCTGCAAAGGATAATATATGATTTCGTTTGTATTTAATCATAATGAACAATGATATTTTTTATTATTCCTACATTTTCCGGCTATGTTACAGTATTTATTTTCCCATTGTCAGTTCTGTCTTATGTTATCATACAAACCCATCCCAATTATTTTGTCAGGAATTATCAACAATCCAAGCCATAACCCATTACAAGCCACAAATCAGTTTGCTTTGCTTATCAGTGTTACATTTATAAAGGAGAAATATTGCAGATTTACTCCAAAGTAAATGACCTGCAATAGTTCAAATACAATAGAAAAAATATACAAATAAAATAAACAATTTAGGCTATAATAGCCTATACAGAAATTAAGTAAAGTAATCAAATATAAAAATAAAACACTGCATAGATTTCACCATATAACTTAAATATAATTTGATTCATAACAAAGTTATGAAAGATATTGAGTGAAGAGCAGTGAATAATTCTCTCATTTTCTTTTGTTGTTTGATTAACATTAATGACACAGACAGCAGCAGGTTTATAATATGCTGTCATAGAATGTCCAGATCTAATATACTGATTAGCATTCGATTACTTATCCAACATTTTCCAATGTTCACTAAAGACATAGCTAACTGACTGTGTTTAAGTGAAAACTCACCAAGATGGACATTTTGGCATATTTTTGGGCATTATTATTCTTATGCTATATACTATGTAGATACAAAAAGACATATTTTGCAATTCTAATGCAATTCATAGATAAAATAACAAAAGTTTTATTAAAATACACCCTATATGTCATTATCATAGCTTATTGAGAATGCAGTATAATAAAATATACTTTGAGTGTTGATTCATTTGTAATTAATTACTGATCATCAGCCTTTATTCACAATGGTAATAATCTTCACACAATAAATGTCAGGGATTCATCACAGTCACTTCAGTCACCATCCAGGATAATTACCCGATCACAGTCACCTGAGTTCTGATCACCCGCACCTGCTGTCACCAATCAAGCCACACTACAAATACACACACAGCACAGTCACTCACTGTCCGGTCTACCGTTCACTCCTACGAACTGCTCTGGACTCTCTACAAAAAAAAAAAAAAGAATAAACTTGAGAATTAATTAGTGTTTGGTATTTCAATTTTGCTTTAATGACAACAGTGCTCAAGCTGACATTATTCTACTTTCTTCTTCTTTTGTTGTAATTTCAAAATTTTACGACAGTTAATTTGTATGTTGAAATAATGATAATAATAACTTTAATGTGAATTTTTGCATGCATAATATTACGCCATGCTGTGTTGTTGTTACAGTGAACATGCTCTTAGTTGCATTTAACCCTGTAAAGCCTGACATATTAAATAAAAGACCAAAAAAAAATAAAAAATCATTAAAAAAATGGAAGAGTTTATTAAATGTTTAGGAGAAAAAAAAAAAAGGCTCATATAGTATGATATTGTCAGGGATTCATCAGTCACTTCAGTCACCATCCAGGATAATTACCCGATCACAGTCACCTGAGTTCTGATCACCTGCACCTTCTGTCACCAATCAAGCCACACTACAAATATACACACACAGCACAGTCACTCACTGTCCGGTCTACACACCTATTCCAGTCATCCCCTTACCCAGTCAATAAACCATCCTTATTTGCACTTACCTGTTGTGTCTGGCCTTGCTTTGTGACAATAAACACTGTTTACATAGAAGCAATTTAATTTAAAGAAATGTATTTTGACTTAAAACGTTTGATAAAGAGAGTCAATGTTTTCACAGTGCATTCCAAATTAAGTTATCAACACACCTCTCAACAGCTCCTTAAGTATAAATTAAACTACATAAAGAGGATCGGATGAGGATTGGAGGGCACTGAAGCCAGTGAACATCAGAAAAGCAGCTGGCCCTGATGGTATTTCTGGCCACTTTCTGAGATCCTGCGCTGAGCAGCTTGCAGGTTTTTTATCATACATTTTTAATCCTCATGTTGTGTTCCGGTCATTTTGACACACAGAGGGTATTCTTTTCACCGAAAATGCTTGTTATCGCACTGGACTAAAACATTGATTTTGCATACATTAGGTAGTCACAGCTTTATTGATGTATGTGTGTATATTGTAGGGTATCAGACCGAATCAGACGTATTGTATATGTTATTATCATATATAGGTTTAGTTTTTTTAACAACCCGTTCTCTTTTAAGTAGCACAGATTTTGTATTTCTTTTTGGAACTGATTAATCATGGGCTTCACTGATCTGAGATTATGCACCTCAGTTTTTGAATGAACATTGCCAAAATTATTCAAGAATAATGGCCAAAAAGAAATACAAAACCTGTGCTAATTGAAAGAAAGCAAGTTAACAAAAAGATTTAATCCAAAATTTGGTGATAATATAGCATAATGAGAGATTTACAAGCAATTTTTAAAAGACTGGTTGTTTTTTCCTGTGGTTACCAAATTAGGAAAGGGATTCTCATCACAGCACAAGGGTTAAAAATGTCACTGGTTATGAAGGTCTACTCATCAAAAACAGGACTTCCTCACAGGCAGACCCCATGCAGGTAGTGAGAGTATAGTTCACCTCCACCTCCAGCCTCACAGGGTTGTGTCCTGAGTCCCCTGATCTATACTCTCTCTACACATACAGTACGACTGCATGTCCTCTCACAGCTCCACTTCTATTGGCAAATTTGCTGATTACATGGTGGTTCTGGGCCTCATCTCCAACAACAGGAAACCAAGGAGCTGACTGTAGACTTTAGGAAGAGACAGCAGCAGATCTACTCCCCACAGCCTTATCAATCATGGCCTCCTAATAATCCCCATCCACTGAATTGACTCTTATCACTCTCTCTCCTCTCCATCTATAGCTAATGTATGGTGAGTGTACTGGCACCATTGTACTGTGACTGCTGTTGCATCATCCAAATGGATGCTGCACACTAGTGGTGGGTGAGAAGAGTCCCCTGATATGAATGTAAAGCGCTTTGGGTGTACAGTAGTATATAATAAAGAGCTATATACATTCCTCATTCATTCAATCATTCATTCATTCACTCATGATCGGCAGGACCCCCATGGAGAGGGTGAGCAGCTTTAAATACCTTGGAGTAAACATCT